TTAGTATGTGCACTCATACATTCAGAGGTTTCCATAGTCTATGGAATATTCTCTTTGCCTCTTTCTTGATTGAACCCAACCAATTTTGCTACCATTTGGTCAACTAGGTCTTTTTGGTTTTGCAAGATACGATCCACAGTGGCCTTTTGCTCCTGCTCCATTTTAACCTCCCACTCTGCTTGCATTCTTTGCAAATTCTCTTCTAGCTCTTTCTTCAGTTTCTCAAATTTTGCATCCATTCTCAGTATTGTGTGAATGTAGTTGTATATTTAGAAACACTTACTCAAAATTCCCCACAATATATGATTAATGCATGTAAAAATGCTTAAATAAATGATATGTAGAATGCAAAGATGCACATGCAGATGCAAAAATGTTGATCCCAACGATGAATATCATAGAATAATTTTCAACAGAAATGAAAGCTTTCACATTATAAGACAATCCATTTTACAGGCATGCTTTTGTTTAGATGTTGAGTCTGAAATAAGTCGGTGCTTCGTCTCGAATTTTTGTCCCTGAAAATGATGCCCCTCAAGCATTCTATTAACTGACTCTATTAATACCCTGATGGTGCTGAAGTCAGTACGTCACTCTTTGGTGGTTAGTGTTGGAATGATCATAGATAAGAATCTACTACTGGATTACTCATCGGATCAATGAATCATCTTTCCAGTCTCGAATATTGCACGATCTTCGAGCAAGTCTCATTTTTGTGCTCTGAACTTCTTTTAGCCTTCGGTGCATGCATGTGATTGCTTGATTGAAAACTTTTATCTCTTCTTGTGAAGATTTTATCTTGAATATCCCCTTATCGATCAACATTTTCGCATTATGACATGACGATGCAATGCAATGCAAAGAAGGATAAAAATGACACAAACAAAAGAAAAAGAAACAAGTTAGTACATGTAAGATAATTGATACAGATAAAAATGTTATTCAGAGATGAATATAACACCTACTCTGTCATGATATCTACCCAAACATGCCTTAATTAAATAACATTCCTACCCGAACATGCTATCTACCCAAAATGATTTTTTTCAAGAAAATAATCCTAACCGCGTGATATCTAGTTCGCATGCTTTTATTCAACATAATTTAAAGTAAAAAAAAGAAAGGTTCAAAAACGCTCCTCCTTTGTGTACACTTATCTTGAGTGCCTACTAACGGACAGAGGTTCGGTATGACTATACCTAGGGTGACCGTTCTACGGTTCACTATATGCATGGTTTCGGCTCTATGAGAAAAAAAGGGTACTTGAATTGTCTTTGATGTCGGTGCCCCCTTGGGCTGTCAAACCCTCGATCCTCACCCATTACAAGTTTCGAACAGAACGAGTTCAATTCGAGGGGATTCACTGCCTTATACCCATATGAGGAATAAATCCCTACGAAGGTATAAGGTATGTATCCCATGGGTTATTTGTTAAAACTCATACGAAGAATAAATTCTTACGAGAGTAAAGCATTCACCCTAACTTACTTGTTACGAAGCTCGTGTCTGGAGCTTATGTTATGCAAATGCACGTGATGTGTGTGAGGAGGAACGTACAAACCTTTGACTAAAAATCGAAAAAGTAAAAAAATCTCAATAAAACTTGGACAAAGCTGAAATCAAAAATTAAAATGTTAGTGCGATAATTAAAATTGAAGAAATTAAAACTTCAATAAATGGACATAAGTTAAATAAAGACTCGAACTTATAATTTCCACCACAACGACAATATGTAAGCGACCTACAGCCTGACTCTCTAAACAATTCCTTAGAAGAGTCACCAAGCTGTCATAACCATTTTTTTGAAAAAAAATAATTAAATATTATTTGAAAAAACAAATATGACTTTGATTTGGAAAACAATTGGTGATTTTGAATTGATTTGGATTAAATTAGATCGAAGTCGCCATCTACCTTTAGGTTAGGCAAGTCGAATACCTAAAAAATGACTTTTAAAACAATTTTAAGAAAAATCATTTTTAAGACAAAATTTGGTCTACGCTTACCATAAATCGATTTAAAGGGTCTAAGAGTCGGTTACGCGTGGGGAAGGATTAGCACCCCCACAGCGCCCAAAAATTGGTACTCAGTCGCTTACATGTTGTCGTAAATGGTGGAACTTATAAATCGAATATAAGGTTAATTTATGATCCATTTATTGAACATTGATCAATTTATTTCGAATTAGTTACTAAGGAAAAATCCTTTAACTTGAAAAGAAATCTCGAGATTAGAAGTCCTCCATCGGGAAAGTTATCTCGTCTATTTCTTATATAAACGAATATTCCTTCATTGATTAAAAGATGTGAATCAAATAAAAATTTTAAAAAATGATTTTTTGCATACAACCAAAATAAATTGCTATTTACTTTATCATGCGTTGCATCATTTGGATAAAAAACTAAACGAATTAATTTGTGAAATAAACTCGATTTATTCCAAGTTCGAATGTCGTATCGGATCGCAATGCTTCGATAAAGCAAGGCTTTCCACGCCCATTCTAAAAATCATTGTTCTTGAAATTATTCGAATAACATATTAATAGATAATAGAAAATAATAAAAACGAACATGAATAGAAATATGTGAAATAAAACATATACAATAAATCGAGCCCATAATATATATATATATATATATATATATATATATATATATATTAAAAATAACTACATAATGTAAAATATATATTCATACATTACGGACTAAAATAAAAACAAATGAAGATTACAAACCAAAATAAAATGGTCAAAATAAGAGTATTTGATAATTACAGGAACTAACATGGTAATAACAACAACTTAAAGGGCTAAACAGTAATTTCAAATAAACCAGAATCCAGATTACAAATATTAAATAACCCAGGTACTAAAATGAAAATAACCCATAAACAATATAAAGAACTGAAATGAAATAAACAGAAACATAAAAGGGCAAATAATAATTAATCTTAAACGCCAAACAATGACTAAAATAAAATATTTACAAATGTCATGGCCAGATTCGAATGTTAAAGAAAAATACACAACACATGAAATCAGTGACTAAAATGAAACATTTATAAACATTGAGACCAAAGTCAAATATTTACAAGAATGACATAACATACAATAACATGACTAAATCATAAGTTCTAAAAAATAAATGCTCGAAATCAAAGAAATTAGAACTTCATTAAATGGCTCAATATGAGATTACAAAACCCTGGGGACCAAAACGGCTATTGTCCCCTAAACAGAAAGCACGGATGGGGTGGGGGCAAAACGACAGCGTTTTGGCTTGGGTATTTATACCCAAACCCACGGCTAATATCTCCCAACTCCCCTCATTTCCTCCTTCATCTCTAAAATAGAGAGAGAACTCTCTCAACATTCCCCTCGTTGGGGAAGAAAGGGTTCGTCGCATTCGATGAGGTCCACGGCGGAGCACGGCGGTCGAAGGAAACCAAAAAGCCCTCAGCAGATTCCTCTCAACCCCCTCTACCCATAACTCAGCGTGATTTAGCCTAAAGGCCACCCGTTAACCCTAGATCTTAAATATTAACTTTAGAAGATTTGAAAACCTTTGACTCTTGGGCTTTCCGATGACCTTCCGACCAAGGTATGAGTCTCTCCTCCTCTCTTTTCTCTTTTATTTTATTTTTGGGTTGATGTCTCTTTTTTCTTTTTGTTAACACCGAATATACCTTTCGATTCCCCTTCTTCTCTCTGTATTTTCTCTATTCTTCCTCGATTCCTCCCTCTCTTTTTTCAAACCCCGAATCCCTCATCCTCTCTACCCTTTGTATTCTCTTCTTTTATGCCTCTCATTTGTGGTAATTGACTTGAGATGATAATGTTACATAGTAGATTGCATCGGGATAGCCTTGTATTTACTTTTGGATTTTTTCATTCTTTTATTGAGGTTATTCTGACTTTTGATGAGATTTTTCTATGTTTAATGCATTTTTGGTCACTGTAGGTGATAACATTGACGTTAGAGGCTGTCGGCGAGGGGAGGCTCAGCTTGAACGGCAGATGGATTTGAAAAGTTGGCGCATGAAGCTCATGTGCCTGAGGGAGCTGAAGCGTCGACTGGCTTCTAAGATACCCTAGGGTTAGGGTTGAGTTGGGCCGGTTCGAGTTTGGCTTGGTGTTGGGTCTGATTTTGACTTGAACCGAGTTGCTAGTGGGTTGCTTATATCTGAGTCACTGGTGGGCCTCCGTTGGGCCTCGGGTTGTACTGGGCTTTGGCCTGCAAAATGTAATATATGTATAAATAATAATAATAATAATAAACATAATAATAATAATGATAATAATAATAATAATAAATTATAATATTAATATTTTTGTAGACGTGGACAAAAACAGGTGTCTACATCAATTATGCGCAAGTGGCAAGAAAAAATCAACGACCTGACAACTCGGTTGCCTTCGTTAAAATAATACAACAACTTTAATAAACAGTTAAAGAAAAACCACATTGAAAAATTAATATTTTAAATATTTTTCGGTAAAACGTTATCTAAAATATTATTTTTTACTGAAAATGTTAATTTCACTAACTAATTTCCGGTAGAACCTAATATTAACATTTCCGGTAGAAAAATAATGTTTTAGGTAGCGCTTTATCGGGAATGTTAAACATTTTAGTTAGCGTTCAATATTAACATTTTTTATAAAAATAATATTTTAAACAGCATTTTACTGAATATATTAATATTTCCAGTAACGTATTTATTTAGTCGTATATTAAGGATGCCATGATACATCCCGCAAAAATACAAATTCTGTCTTTGCCCTAATTCGATTTTCCAAAAATAAAAAAAATCTGTCATAACTCAATCCAGTCTATTGAAATTTGACGACCTTCCTTCTTTTTCATTCTGCTAATGGAGCAAATTGGTCGATTTTAATCCCTTCAATTATATCCAAGAATTCGGGATTTTCTGTTTATATATTTTTTCAGAAATGGATTCGAGCAGGCGAGCGGTGGAATCTTAGTTATTGGAGATCGCGGATGATAGATGGGGCTACGTCTGACGAAGACAAAGTAGCCCCCGTTTATAAGTTAGAAGAGATCTGCGAGCTCTTGGGATCGTCTCATGTTAGTCTCGTTAAAGAGGTCTACGAGTTTGTATTGAAACGACTCGATCACAAAAGCCCCATCGTCAAACAAAAGATGAATTAATTTCAATTCGCGTTGAAATTTGTTTCGATTTGGTTAAATCTAGTAAATTATAATCAATTTGTCGTTTTGGATGGGGAAATTTTCCTGATGAAGTTATGAATCCAAAATTTTGAAGTTGAACTCAATTTAGTCAGTAGCTAAAGTATCAGTATCAAAGGATAACTTGTGTCTGTATATAAATGCAACTAACGCAAAAGTTATTAACAAAGAGCCTAATAGACTTCAAAGGCTAAGAAGTTTTGGTATGTAAATGCTCTGAATTACGAAATGTATAATTTAAATGGTAGAGAATACATCTTATAAATGAATTATCTGAACATGCTAGAATACTCGGTAGTGGGATTTTTACAGGCTTTGAGGCTGATAAAATATGCAGTGGGGAAGTCTGGTGTGGATTTTAGGAGAGAAATGCAGAGGAACTCTGCCGCTGTGTGTCAGTTATTTCATTACAGAGGGAAACCGGATCCTTTGAAGGGCGATGCAATGAAGCTATTTCTTCTATATTTGCAGAGGACAATAATCCCAGTAAGCCTTCTCCTGCAGATGACCTTAGCAAACGAATTCAAGGATTTGGGAACACAAACTTCGAAATGCCATCGGATGATAAGAAATCATTTCTAAGTGAGGTAGTTGGCATCGGAAGTGCTTCTATCAATCAGGGAATTAGTAGTTTCACTCAGGGTCATTCACTTGGAAAGAATGATAATGGAAACTATAAAAGCCCAACGCTTCGGAGGTCATTGACTAGAGAAACTGACCATTCTGATTGGTGTGAACCTGTTGAATTGCACAATGGAACTCAAAGGGTTTCTGGGAGTTCTGCTAGTAGACGTTGGGGCCAGGATTCGGGAGTATTAAAGACAGAAATAACAAATGGAGAATCCAACTCGAATAAATCAATTAAAACTCGTGAAGAGAGATTGTTAGAAACAATAGTGACATCTGGTGGCGAAACAATAGTGACATCTGGTGGCGTTCGTCTGCAGCCTACACGAGATGCAATTCAGGCTTTCCTTGTGGAGTCTGCAAAGCTCGATGCTTTGGCTTTAAGTCATGCCCTTGAATCTAAGCTTCTATCTCCAACTTGGCAGGTAACTCACTGCACCTATTTAATGAATTATCAGTGCAATGGTACTGTTTATTTATTTATTTATTTTTGGTTTGGGTGCGACCTGCTACCAAAATCAGTTTCACCTTAACTACTTTGGTGTACATGAAGGCACACCGTTCTCATTACATGTGTTAGAGTATGCTCAAAGACCAATCATATGATGATTGTAATAATATTTTTATTTACCGATTTTATTAAATAAAGGCATTGCCGCTATTATTTTCAGTTATATATATGTGTTTAACATAAACTGGAAGATAATAAAGTCCATATAATGACATAATTGTTATTATTAAAAGATCCCTAGTCAAGTATTATTATGGGCATGGACAATAATAATACGCTCAAGACTAACATGTTATTGATTGATGACAACAAGTTGTCATTGACATAGAGATGTCAGAATTAATACATGATTATATTGTTAGAGAACAATGTATTGGATTGACCCACCATGAGCATATGTCTTGGATTATTATGTGACAGTCATAACATTACTCATGGTGATGGCTATATGTATGATCCTCAGACTTGAGATCAATGCTATCCCAACATATATTGTTGTATGTTTTGATGCAGCTAAACAAGCTCCATAAGTGGTTGCTCTATAAAGACTGTTATTGAATATATCTCAATATATGTAGTGGGTGTGTATGATTAAGATAGGATATGTCCTTTCTACATAATAGGAAATATATCATAGGCCACTTGATTGAGTAAGACTAGAAACACATGGCCATGCTCGAATAAGTTGATATGAGATATCATAAATTATTCGTTAATTAAAGTCTACTCTAGAAATCAAGAAACAATAGATGGGCTATACAAGTGTGACTATTCCAAGACTTGTGCCTATTCTAGATATAAAGGACATAAGGATATAATACATAAAAGAGTTAATCACCAAGATGATATATCGAATTATATTTTCTTGTAACTTAGGTGACAATGATATATTGCTAGATGTCACTCATTGTATGTAATATTAGAATTGTTCTAATAATTACTTCTAATGTTACAAGAACCTACAGGGTCACACCCTAAGATTGAAACAAGCAAAAATGTACAATTTGTTGTACGTTACTAAAATATATCTAGAGTTAATTAAGTATATATATTTTAATAATCCCGAATATTTAATTTCAATTAATTAAATATAGATTTAATTAAATATAGATTTAATTAATTTGAAATAATAAAATCCTTGATATGATTAGGGTAACTTGGATATAAAAGGATTATTAAATTCTAATTAATTAAATATAGATTTAATTAATTTGAAATAATAAAAACCCTAATATGACTAGGGTAACTTGGTTATAAAAGGGTGTGTTAGGTCTAACAGCCGTTTTGGGAAGAACACAGACAAAACCTTCAGCCACTTTCTCTTAAAACTGTTTTGGGGGAAAACAAAATTGCTCTCAATCGGGTGAACTGAGTAGAGGATGAGACGTGATTTCGTCGAGGCTTACGATTCGAACCGATCTACAGCACCAGAATTCACTGCTTTCCTTGCTGTTTTTCAAGGAACCCGCTGTAAGTATTTGCATCTCTTCCTCCCGATTTCAGTTTTTCGTACTTGGATCGCTGGTGAGACCGTCGAATTTTGTTTCCGTTGCGCCATGGGATGCGCCGACGGTCCTAACAACATGACCATGTTTGTATTGGTGATTAATCTATATTGACTTCTTTCCAGCAAAAAGAAATGGTATATTTGTGTTTTTTGTTTTCTTTCAACTTTGACCAAAACTAATGATGGCCAGGTTCGCATGAAAGCTGTATGTGTGCTTGAGTCCATTTTGGGGAAAAAGGAAGATGAACATTTCTTAATTGTGGCTTCTTATTTTACCGAGAACAAAGATGTTGTTTTGAGATGTTCCGAGTCCCCCCAAGCTTCCCTCAGAGAAAAGGCCAACAAGGTAAATATCTTAGTCAACCCTCTGTTATACTTTTAATCAGCAAGATGAAAATAATTTTTGTTACTGATTAAGGCCAGCTCATAGTACTGATTTTGGTGGCATGCTTGTAGATTCTTTCTCCTTTTCCTTTTGTTTACCAACAAGGAAACTACAATAATCTCTAATGTAGTAAACTTGTGTCATGGGAGAGGAAGGAAAATTGAAATAACTTATGCTTAAGAACTTGCTTTTGGTAATATGGAAAAATTTATGATTAAAGCTAGGAAGGCCAATTGAACTCCCATCCTGTTTGAGTTCATAAAGATCTTGCATTTTATGATGCCATATTTATGCAAATCTAAGTTGATCTAGTGTTGTTCTTTTGAATGGGGGAAAAATCTATGAAACTCGTGTTATCTTTTAATATCAAGCCTGTTGTTTAGGGTTATAGAATTAAAGAGAACACTCATATTGATTAATCTGTTGTTTTCTCTTTATTATTATTATTGTTAGAGGACCACTTTATATTTACTTTTTGTTTGAACCTATGGATTGAGATATTTTAAGATGCTCCCATTTGACGCCACATTATATTTCAGCTCCCTTGTCTTGACTTTCCTTCATTATGAATGACCATAGTCGATCTTCTTATGATAGTCGCGCTTTAATCTCGACTGCTTTAAATGATATGATTCATAATATGAATTGAAAAGTTATTATTTACTCTGAATACTAACTTAAAGCTGGTAGGATACAAGTTTCTCAGTTAACGAAATAGATGCCGCTATTGATCCTTTTGAGATATTTACTTTTTGTTTCAACTTTCATGTTTCAACCTTCAAGTTTCAACCTTCAAAATTAGATATTTTTGCTTGCTCTCGATTGATGTCACATGATATGCTTCTTAAACAGGTGTTGATCCTTTTGAATGGGGAACAACATGGTGTTTCGGCAAGTAATTCAGAAAAGTATTTGGAGGCTGAGACCACACCTATTCAAATGCCTGATCTAATCGACACTGGTGATCTAGATGATTACAATGGACTAGCTACTTCAGAAAGGAACCAACATGACCTAAATACTGCATTACGGACAGCTACGCCGCTTATTGATAACTTATTTGGAGATGGCATAGACACTGGTTTCAGCACCAGGGAACTGAAAAATGATGATGATCCCTTTGCAGATGTCTCATTTCACACTGGTGAGGGCAGAGAAAATGTGGATAATCTCTTCTCTGGGATGACTGTAGATGACAAGTCAGCCGTGAGTTGTAATTGTGTGGCTGCAAATGAAAAATCTGAACTAATTGATATCTTTGGGACCAATTCTGATACTCCGTTTGAGCCAGTGAATAAAAAAACTGATGTTAATGATTTGGTGGTTGGCTTGTCTATGAATGAGAATCCATCAAATCAAAATAAATCCAATTCAAAATATAAATTTTGAATTTTATTAAATTTATTCATATCTATAAAATAAATTAGTATATGAGAGTAAAATTGAACGAACCAATAAGACATGGACTAAAATCGTTCTTTTTTATCGTTGACTAAAATTAGACAAATAGAAAATATAAGGACCACATGTATAGTTTACTTTATTAAATTGAATTTGCACGTTGCCTTAAGCCGGTCCAAAAGCACTAACACGTGTCGTGCAACAATGCGCAAGTGACAAGACAAAATGAACCACCCGACAACTCGGCTGCCTTCGTTCCCAAAAATACAAATTCTGTCTTTGCGCTAATTCGATTTTCCAAAAACGTCTTTGCCCTAATTCAATCCAGTCTATTGAAATTTGACGATCTTCCTTCTTTTTTTCATTCTACTAATAGAGCAAATTGGTCGATTTTAATCCCTTCAATTGAATCCAAGAATTCGGGATTTTCTGTTTATATTTTTTCCCGAAATGGATTCGAGCAGGCGAGCGGTGGAATCTTATTGGAGATCGTTAAAGAGGACTCCGAGTTTATATTGAAACGACTCGATCACAAAAGATGAAAATTTTTAAGTACTTGATTAATTAAAGTAATGGTGTGCTTATTGCAGAATTATGACTTAGACTTGCACTGTTAGATCGGATTAAAGATATAGATCTTCAAAACAAAGATAATAAAATGTTTTGCCAATATTTAGTAAAGAAAGAAAGGAAAAACTAAAGATTTTTAAATTAAATTGGGGTCGAGTTTGCATACCCAATAATGAAAAATTGAAAAAGAATCTTCTTTTCAAAGTTCATTATAGTTCTTTTATAATGTACTCTGGAGGAAATAAAATGTTAAGAGTTGATGCTAGTAGGCAAACACAAAAGAACTATAATTGAGTTTGTACCTAAATGTTTGACATGTCAGCAAGTAGAAATAGAACGATAAGTGTGTTGAGTTAATCGATTGACGGAATCGGCCAAGAGGGGGGGTGAATTGGCAATAAAAATTTTGGTGTAAGCTTTTGAAGAAAATTGAAAGAAATTACACAACGATTTAGAGTGGTTCGACTTTATCAACCAAAGTCTACGTCCACTACCTTAGCTATCCACACTAAGGATTTTCCAACAAATTCACTAATTTGTTCTTTCTTTTGAGGCCAAAGAGATAACCTTACAACTCCCTCAAGAATATACGTCAATTCTTGAGAACACTCTTTTCTCAAAGAGAAATACAAATTTGCAAACTTACAAGAAAAACCTCACAAGGCAAATATGTTTGCACAATTCTAGAACAAAGAAAGAACACTCAAGAATAAATACAATTGAGCACAATAAGTGTTCTTGAAAGCAAAATGAATATTGAATGAAAAATAGGCTTGAAATGCTCAAACTTGAGGTTTGATGCTTTCTCTTTGATTCTCTCTTGATTCTAATTGCTTGATGTTTCTTGTTTTTGATCAATGGCTTCTAAGCTTGCTTAAATACACCTTGAATCACTTCTGAACGTTGGGGATGATTAGATAAAATAATATAGTCGTTTTAGTGTGAAAACAATTAATAAAACGGCTTGGAGCTTGGGGGGAATCGATATCCCCTATGGGGAATCGGTTCCCTAAGTGTAAAATTAAAATATTTCGACTGTTATACAAGGGGGGGGGAATCGGTACCCCCTGGGGGGGAATCGGTACCCCCTTGGGGGGAATCGGTTCCCTCCGAGCATACTGGAATTCTCTAAGCCAAACCATTCAGGGGGAATCGGTACCCCCTTGGGGGGGAATCGGTTCCCTCTGAGCAATCTGGAATTTTTGGCTTTGAAATGGTTCGAAATACTTTGTAAAATTATTTTGAAATTGTTTTAAGATTAAAACTTAATTTTACACTTGAGTAAGGATTAAAAATGATCTTTAAAAAATTTGGAGTAATGTTTTGATATTCGAATAGTTATATCGAATATACTTAGAAAATCATTTGGAAAATCTTAAAATTCATTTAACTTAATTTGTTATATCGAAATATCAAAATGTTTTCAACAATCTCCCCCTTTTTGATATAACAAAACATTTTAATAATTTTAAGATTTTGAAATTAAGTTTTGAAATTACTCTTTTGAAATTACTCCCCCTTACTTTAACACTTCTCCCATTTATCATTTAAAAACACATTTAACACTTCTCCCCCTTTTTGTTAAATCAAAAAGACATTTTAAAGAATTTAAACAAGGTTTTGAAATCATTTAGCCAATTGATTATATATAATATAAGCTGCTAAGATCACAAGCAAGAGAAAAGTTAGCCATTAGTTTCATAATCAATATTCATAATAAATGTGACATGGCAAAATTGGTCATATATCTAATCATGAAGTAAATGATGCAATAATGAATAAATTTAATCACACCAAATAGATAAGTTCTAACCATTCATAAATCCAAACAAATTCAAAGTCAATCAATTCACAAATTCAAACATTCCAAAATATTCAAAATGTTAAAATAATAAGTTTGGAGTTCAAAGCAAAACATAGAATCACATATCAGGATCAGGAGGAGGAAAACGAGCTCGCATAGTGGCCATTTCGTGAGTGAGATCATTAATACGCGCGTTGGTTGCTTCGTTGTTTGCACGTATCTCCCGAAGAATTTCTAATTGTTGAGCTCCCATTGTGGATAAGTGAGACTCTATAGAAGTAAAGCGCGAATCCATGGTAGCATATCGAAAATCGAATATCTCCATAAAGGTTTGCAAAATATGGAGGCATTTGATGCGTTTGTTGTGCTTGCTCCTCGGGCTGCTCAGACTCATATTCGGCTTCATCGATGTCTCGCATTAATTGCTCAAGCTCGAGATCTTCGTCAGCTTCGGGTGGAGCTTGTGAAGAACTAGCTCCCGGAGTATTTGCAGAAGATCGAACCCATTCACCGGTTTCCTTATCCTTAATCCATCTCGCTCTCGTTAAGGAAAGAAGGTTAATTTGTTTCTTAAGGGGAAAAACGACATCTAGAATGACTCTAAGCCCAGCTTTGGGAAACAGATTACTCAAAATGAAACCGTAAACTAGAGATGAACAGAGTTTCTTGTTAGGAACAAGATTTACGGTTTCAACAATTTCAGCAAAAATAATCCGAGGTAGGTTAATTTTAATAATGTTTTCGAAACAATGTAACCACCAAATATCTAAGGCTCTAAGAGTAGAATAACGACCTCCGGATGGTCGAAACCACCAAGAAATCATTAGATGAAGAATACGTTCATGAAGGTCTAAGACACTTGCACTATCCCTTCTTTTATAACAAGATCCTAAAACCTGTTTTTCATTTGAAATACCATCATTATCTAATCCGAATGTATTGGCTATGTAAGCCGAGTCAATATATAAGAATTGTCCTAGGAGGTAGGAATTTCAGTTTGGTTTTTAACACAAACGACATTAGAATAGAAAATATGAACAAGTTGATGGTAAACGATGGGTTCAAGGTCAAAGAGTTTATCAAATTTCCACTCTTGTAAAAGAGGAAGATATTTAAAATTAATAGCTAACATAGCCTGACGAGAAGGAATACGTTCTTCCCGGATTTTGTAAGAGTCAAAATATTGATAATACCAAAAACGATGATTTCTAGGACCATGATGATTGAAACACGAATTTTGGATAGTCAAGTTAGGATCAATGGGATTAGGATTAGAAATTGGAATAGGAGGAGGATTTGGAGGTGGATTTGGTTGACGGTGTGAGCGACTAGATGATGACCTAGCACGTTTAGGATTGGACATGGTTTAGGAAATCAGAATAGAATTGATAACCTGCAATTTAGAAAACACATGTATGCAATTCAATCAATCCCAAAACTCAATTGAGTCCTCAATATTTCAAGGTTCTCTAAATCAATCCTAATGGGCAAAGTTTTTGAAAAACTTTTGAAAAATATAGTTTTGAGAAACAATATATGTATAGTTTTCATAACAACAACATAATTTAATCAAAACACAATAATTTGAAAATTAACATTTTTTTTTAATTTCGAAAATTTAAATTTTTTTTGGAAAATTCTTGTGTTTTTTATGAAATTGGTTGTAATATCTAGTTTCTAATCACTAAACAATCAATGCCCGATCTAAAGTTCATCATATAACTAATTAAAACTAGTCCTATGTTCAAAATCAATAAAATAGTGAGTTTAGAAAATTTTACCTTGAAGGATGAAATTGAGTGGATTTTGATGTTGTTTGCACGATTTTAATGATGATTGCAAGTTTAGGAGATGATATTTGAAGTGAATTCCGATTAAAATCGATGATTTGAGACAAGAATGGAGATAGGGAGAGAGTTGAGAGGGAACGGCAGAAGAGAAATGAGAGAATTTTTGAGGATTTTGAAGGGTTCTGCTGTGTATAACCAGAACCCCAGGGGGTATCGATTCCCCTGTGGGGGGAATCGGTTCCCCTTCAAAGGGGGAATCGGTTCCCTCAAGGGGGGATCGATTCCCTCTGCACCAAAATGCTAAAATCCGATTTTAAACACCCAAAATGCTAAATTAATTTCCTCTAGTGGTATTGGCAACTCATATATTGAAAATTAATCATGTTCAAACAATTAAATTAATCTTTAAATGATATTTGAACATAAAATTAATTTTTCATCAAGAATCATAAACTCCCCCTAACTAATAGCAATGAATGCAATCAAAAATTACTATTATAAGTATTTTTCATTAATTCTTAAAAAAATGTTAAAATTATTATTATTTTTTAAACACTAAGTGAAGATAGGTTAGTCAAACCTAATTCTCTCCTAAGTGTCCAAAATCTTTCCTTGTCTAAGGGTTTTGTAAAGATATCCGCTTATTAGTGCAAAGTATCAACAAATTCTAGAACTACATCTTCCTTAGTGACATGGTCTCTAATGAAGTGATGCCTTATTTCAACGTGCTTAGTTCTAGAGTGTTTGATGGGATTTTTAGTGAGACAAAATAGCACTAGTATTGTCAC